AAATGAATTAGCAAAGAGAATTTAGACAGGAAAACTGAATTGAAATCAAATTAGAAGAAGTACATGTATAAATAAAGACATCTTTCTTATTAAAGAACCATATTAACTATATTGCTGTTGACCTGTGTAGTCATAATGAAATCTGTAACTTATCATGATCTTCACCCTCAAGATGGAACTAAAATGTTGATATCTATAATCTCGTCTAACAACATACATATTTTATATTTTTATTAAATAAATTTAACTAAAATTTAAATTACAATTACTGTATTACATTGTTTGTATAACAGAGATGGGCAAGTCAAGTCAAAAATGATTTGGTTGACTTGAATACCAATATAGGAAGTTCCTCGAGACTTGACTTGACTTGACTTGGACCGATCACAAGTACTGATCTTTTCGACTTGGAAATTTTTAAGTCACGTCAAGTCAATATGCTCAATTTTTGATTTCGTCTTTGAGACAATCGGATAACATAGACATCATAGCACATGAACCAATACTATCCCAAAGAAAAATAAAATATTGAAAAATATCATTTGTAGTCTTAGTAGCCAATTGAAAATATGAAAGTGATTCATAGTTAACCCATTGTATTGCACTTTCTCGAGAAAAACAAAATCATTTTCTTTGCACATTGAAACAATCATCCATGGAATCTCATAGTGATAAATCGTTTGATAATCCAGAAGTATCCATTCTGTTGCTTCCATTAACACCCACTTCTCAATCACAGATATCGTCCGATCTATCTTCCCAAAATCTAAATCTTCCAGATCCAGCAAAGAATATTCGAAGTCAATTCTATTCGGATATCAAAACTTATGATACAAATTGGTGTGCGACTTGTTTGTTGTGCAAGAAAGTTCAGTTCGATAAAAAGGGTGTTACCTCAAATACAAATCGTCATGTAAAGTCACAACATAAAAAGGAATATGAGAAATGGGTTTCGCAGCTGAACGAATCGAACAAAAACAATCAGGTGAAAATTTCGGACGCACTCTCGAAGAATTCTGACTGTACAAAGAAAAGACAGAACTCAAAACCTGTCTATCATGATGCTCATCCGAGACAAACTCAATTGTCTGAAGCGATCTCTATGAACTTGATCATCGAATTAGGTCTACCATTGTCTCTAGTTGAACGTCCAGCTTTCATCGATTTCATGTATACGGTAGATCCGAAGTTTACCATTACCAGTAGACGAACACTTAGTCGATCTGTTATTCCACAGCTATTCAATACAGAGCTAGGACGCAAGTATTTGTACTTGTACTTTTTGTACTTTTTCAAGTAAAAGTATTATACTTGTACTTCAAGAAGAATACTTGGTACTTGTACTTGTACTTCAAGAAGAGTACTTGGTACTTGTACTTGTACTTCAAGAAGAGTACTTGGTACTTGTACGTGTACTTCAAGAAGAGTACTTGGTACTTGAACTTTGTGTTTTGTCCTACTCTACAGAGGTCATTTTATGATCTAAGTCGATCCAACGGTCTAACCATAAATTGATGTAGATTTCTTATTATGTGATTAAAATCTATTTTAGTATTAGGTAGTGCGCTTCTACTGCATTTGACATATGCGAAAGTAAAGTCTGTGAGATTGTGTTGTTATTTAAAATTATGTGTTGCAAACAAAAAACAATCGTGAAAGCGGAACATGCATAAAATAATTTCTGATAAAAACGTAAAGTAAAAATATTAAAGCATATGGAGACTAAGAGCCAGTTTGAAACCATCTCTTAGATGAAGTCTTGATTCACACGTAAAAAGACTAAACTTCTAAAAACTTCTTCTTGCATCGATGTTCGTCTTGGAGACATAACAATACCTGCTTGGCTGAAAACTCTTTCAATAGGTGCTGAAGATGCTTGCACAGAAAATATTCGTTCAACCACAACTTTTAACGAATGTAATTGCGACCTATTCCAGTATGACGAAAATTTGGATCGTACTGGATCATTTATATATGCATTAATTTCGCTCAAAGGATTCACTTTTGATTCGGGTGAGAGGCCGTGATGATCATCGTATTGGAATAACTTTCGCTTTTTAATGATTGATGTATCAACTGCTTGTGTTGTATAACTATTTGAAATGTATTTTGATGGTGACAACTGTGAACCTTGTGTATCATCAAACGATATGTTATCATTTGTATCGCATTCATTTAATATCAATTGAATCAGTAATTGTTTCATCTGTGTTTCTACCGCTGGCTTGTAATCCATCTGACCGAGCCAATAAAACTTAAATTCAGGATCCAAAACAGCAGAAACAAAGTAAAGTGGATCCGAAAAAGGATCGTCCGTAGAAACTATTTGCTGTGTTAATCGTTTCGTGATACCAGCAAATCTTGTATGGACAGAAGTCTCAAGTTGAGTGCACATTTTTTTCAAAAATTGAATATTTGGTTTTATATTCTTCAGATGATCGATAATATGAACAATTGATGGAACCACAAGACTAGCAGTAACAATTGATTCGGATTGAACACGGCTGGTTATTTCAGCAAACGGTTCTAAAATGTCTATTGCTTCTTGCAATACAATAAAATCATTACTATTGAATTTAAAGTCACTACTATCGATAACATCCGTAATTTCATCAATAGTTTTTTTCCCTAAAGCTATAATTGATTTGATCAACGAGTATTCAGAACTCCACCTTGTCATATTTGATCGTTTTATTGTCTTTCCAACATCCTCAAGAAGTTCCGCTACTTTGGTTGACTTATGAGATCGTCGAGCCAACTTGATGCATTTTGCTAATGACTTCGATAGGAAAGGAGAATTTTTCAGTCCGTCTCGAATAGATAATTGGAGCGAGTGTGCAAAACAGGATACACGTATTGGGCAGTCAGTATCTATGTCAACGGAATCTTTGCCACTATCACACCAATCAATTAAAGTCCATTCATTTGACGTCATAAGATCATCAGTGATAAAATCGAATGAACTATCATCTTGCTGTTGATCACTATCATCTTGTAAAACATGTCCATGATTTTCCACCACATTCAAACCAAATTTATATGCTTTTATCATGTTAGCAGCGTTGTCTGTCACAATACGAAACACTTTATCCTTGATCTAGAAAAGGAATTGACCAGACCACTAGTGATTACAATATCGCATTTTCTTGACTGATAAAAAAGGATATTTTAGCTGAAAAGTCCTGTGTTTATGCGCTTTCATAGAATAAGTTGTTCAAAGGCTCGTGCTAGAATTTGTATAGAATGGGTGATTGATATCAGCTATCCTTACCTCCAATTTGTCCAGTATTTGTTCCGTGATATTATGGATATTCTCCGCAGTATGTGCACCTTTGAAGCGTAAAAAATCCAAAAGAAGAGCTTGTGGAACACTGCGCGAATCAAGAAAATGACCTGTAACACCAACAAAAGATCTTCCCCGCCTATCTGTCCAAAGATCAATGGTAATTGTTAAATGTTTGACATCATGGAGCAAATTTTTTATTTTGTCTTCTATATTCTTCATCAAAGACGGTATTAATACTTTGGTATAGTAACGAGACGACGTATTTTTCCATTTTGGAGCAAGTATTCTCATAAAGTTTCTAAAGCCACGAGATTCAGCTATTGATAAAGGCAAATTGCACTTCACAATTAATTCTTCGAGAATAGTTTGATTAATTTTATCGTTGTTGTTTGTCGAATTTTCCGCAACATCACCTGTATCTTCGGTGGGTTTAGTATAATTTGGAAATTTGGCTTTTTTGTATTCATCATCATGTGCACGTTTGAGATGTTTATGAAAATTTCCTGTTGAACCAAATTTATCCACATAAGTTTTACCACAAGATTTACATATACCACATATCTTGTTATCTTTTGGAGGCTTGAAATCAAAAAACTCTTTGAGAAAATCCATACGAAGAAGTTTATATAACACAAAAAAGCCAAATGGACGAACTAATTACTTTCTAATCTTTTGCCATCATAGGATTCAGTATTTATAGAGAACGAAACAACTAGAAACATAGGAGAAACAGAGAATTCAAAAGACTATCATGCAATGACGTCATGAATGGATCGCCTCCCCATGATGTCATTATATATCTTCTTTCATCCTAGTCATCCATGTATATAAATATGACGTCATGTAGTCGTATGTTCGTGCGTGGCATCAGACGTTATCACATGGTGATATGCTCTTTGTATGTTACATGTGTTATGTCCTCGAAAGCCATTTTCATTATTCTTGTGTAAACGCAATCTTTTCTAAACAAAAACCGCTCTTTGTATGCAAACACACATCGATACAGTCGGTGTCCACCTCTATTCATCAAGCAGTCATACGCCCCTGATCAGGATTAGCAGGTACGAGTGCAGTATATTCCACAAATCTTGTTGAGGTCGCTTTTGAGTACACTTTAGTATTTGATCTTATGTATAGTGTAACTTTCTTCTGACTGTCTTTTGATAAAATACATTACAATTATTGTTGTATACGAATCACTCTTAAAGAGATGGCAGAATCTTTTCGATACATTTACCCGCAATGGCTGTCATTCATGCATCTTTTTCTAACTATTTCCTCTTATATTTAACTCTGTTACATTTATATGATGTTAACGATACTCTTTTAAATAAAACGAACAAGCAGTACTGATGAAAACAGATACTCGCAATATCAAAGGATGACAAATATTCTAGTTTTTGATACTTGGAAACTCGATTGTATTTAAATCGTGAAGAAATCAAATAGGTAAAAGAGATGCGGTTTGTTGGGAATACATGAAAAGTCAACAATGTTGAGAGATTAATGGTGAGCAAAACGTGGCAAAGATGAGAATATTTTTTTATTGTTAGGTTGATATCGAGAACAGCCGATGCATACAAAAGCAGTGCAAACTAGTTCATATTCAGTGATGAAAATATAACTACGAAACAGGAATCAGTGAAATGTACACCAGTGTATATAGTTGAACAATACAAGTGAAAAACTTATGTACAAGACAGTGTAAAAGAAACGAAATTTAAGTATATTGACATGAAATCTGATGCATTAGGAATCCACAAACAATATTCAGTATAATTGTGAACTAAGACCATATGTAAAATTTCTTGCAGATGTCTGAAAAATACGAATGATTTCTTAGAGCGTCGTATCATACTGTATAAAGAAAAAATAACAATTGTAGCAAATATGCATGAGAAAAGGGTTATATTAATACTTCAGTTTAATTATGTAAACAGGATATGGTATAACAATGTAAGCGAACCTGATAAGACATTTTTATATGAACAATATTTTTTAATATTATATACTCATCTCAATATGTAATCCGTTTCATGTTTACTTTACTCATTCTCATTATTATAAGTGCAAAAATAACATCAGAGAACATTATAACAAAACAAGCTGTAAACTGTTACTACATTAAACTAATCAAGTACGGTAATTTTACTTCCAAAATCTGTTGTATTTATCTCTCAGATACAGATACAAATATCAAGTATTCTTCCTGAAATACAAGCTCAAGTACCAAGTACTTTTCTTGAAGTACAAGTACAAGTACCAAGTACTCTTCTTGAAGTACAAGTACAAGTACCAAGTACTCTTCTTGAAGTACAAGTACAAGTACCAAGTACTCGTCTTGAAGTACACGTATAATACTTTTACTTGCGGTACTTGTACTTGTCCTAGCTCTGATTCAATAATATGAATGAGAAATTAAAGGAAATTTGCGCCGATGCGAAATTTATCTCTCTAAGTCTGGACATTTGGACCGATCGCCGAATGCGAGCGTTTTTCGCAATGACTGGTAAGTTCGATTATTCCGAAACCATCTACAGCCATTCGAAATCAATACGATCTATTCATCAACACTTTTACATATGATTTAGGTCACACATTCATCGACAAATCTCTGAAATCATTTGTACTTTGCTTTCTTCCATTATACGGTAGTCACACGGCGAATTTATTATTGGACCAATATGAAAGTGTGCTCAACATGCTCGATATTAATGCGAAAATTGTTCGTTTGATTACCGACAACGCATCGAACAACATCAAAGCTTTTCAAGATTTAATTATTCCTGGTTTCGAAGAATATTTCGATAACGACAATAATGACGAAAGTTCGAGTGACGTCGATCTTGATGCAGCTGAGGAGGCTGATAAAATATCTACCATGTGTGACGATGGAAATCAAGAGAATATGATCGATATAATCAAAACAAGTTTTGATAATATAGCTGCAAGCAATGAATCGATGCGTTTGCCATGCTTTTCTCATTGTTTGAATTTGGTGGTTTCTGATGGACTGAAAGAAGCCTCTTCTATCAAACAAGTTCTATCAAAGGTTTCCAAAATCGCCAAATTGTCTCATTCAAGTACAATTTTCGTGGAGAAACTAGAGAGCATGAGTAAATCGATACCAAAAGCAAATAAAACTCCCTGGAACAGCCAATTCAATTTGGTTGAAAAACTTCTACGTATACCATCGTCGGATTTGAGTGATATTCTCACGTCAATCAAACGGCAAGATTTATGTTTATTGACTAAAGATTATCAAATATTGAACGAATTCATATCGTTGTTTATTTTATTAGCTGAAGCAACAGTGATTACACAGGGTGAAAAGACACCATCCATTTCATTTGTGGCACCAACAATATTAGCTATTTATTTTGATCTATTATCCGAGAAAGAAGATGTTACTTTTACATTGCCATTATGTAAGGCTCTATTGTCGTCGTTGATTTCAAGATTTGGTGATTTGTTCGAGCAATTAGATGTCGAAGTCGACAAATCGATTAAACCAAAAACAACATATGATTATTTCAAAGATCCTTTATTTATATATACACCTAGCTTAGATGGAAAGTTTAAATTACATTGGATAAATGAATCATCATTACTACCGGAGAAAAAGAAATTTCTGTGTGAAAAAATAAAACAAGTTTTATATGACTTTTGTGTTTTAATTCGACATAGTGAATGTTTACAATCAGAAACAGAAACACAAGCAGTCGACGATCAACAAACAGCACCAGTTACACCGTCAAGATTAGGTCGAAAGAGAAAAAGTCTTTTCTCGAACATTGAAAATAAAAATTCGAAGAAACAAAAAGTGGAACAATTTGGTTTTATCAAAGATGAAATTAATAATTATCTCAATGATGATTCAATTGACGAATCGAACAGATTCGCTCTTCTTTATCAATCTCACAAGTACCCATCGTTGCACAGCTTATCATTGAAAGTATTGACAGTTCCAGCTACTTCCTCTCCCGTGGAACGGGTATTTAGCCAGAGTGGATTTCTCTTTCGACAACATCGTGGGAAAATGCCAAGAAAGATGCTACAAATGTTGACTATGTTGAAAATCAATAAAAATTTTCTGTCGATTTCTTCTTCATAAACTACTCAATTAGGTTTTTTCTTTATATAACCACTGACTTGTGACTCGACTTGAATTGGGCAAATTCAAGTCAAATGACTTGAGTGACTTGTGATTTGGAAAAGTCATGACTTGCCCATCTCTGTAATATACGAAAGAACGAAAAAGTGAATCGAGCGATTGTTGATTTGGTCAGCAAAAAATGACTCAGTGTGTGGTATTATAAGCAAGAGACTAACAAATAATCAATAAAATATGGTTAGAAGGGCATTAAATGCATCTATTAGACGATGATTGTTCGCGAAAAATGAACAATATGACAAAATTGTGTGAGTTGACGACGACATTTTTTCAGTATTTGCACTGGAGTTGTGCATCCCTAGAAACATCACTCATTTATAAACTTTCTTATTTGGAAATGTTCCTTGCGGCTTTATTACGGCCAATGAATATTTTACATATTTTTTGTTTACTTGAGAGTGAAAGAAGCAGTAGAAATAATCAGATCAGAGTCAGCAACGATGAGATTAGTAATCATCGATTATAACAGTACTATATTAAAAATATATGAATATTTTGTTTTCAAATGTGTAATTTATTATAATCAACGAATCTGAATTCAATGGATTCTAATTTGTTCTTTTGAACTAAAATCTGATGATTTGCTCTACTTTCATTATATGAATTAATGTCAAGCTCATCCTCAACCGCTTCGCTCTCCAGTAATTCATGACGTACGAGATTTACATGTTTTTTTTCTTGCAGGTTTAATAACTGATAATGAATATACAGAGTATTAAAATTGTGACGCATATAAAATGATAAGAAGTTTCATTTCATCTACTATACAACGAGAAAGTGAACGAGAGATAATGGCTACCTCATTAATACAGCTTGGCACTGAATCAAGACGAATTATTCTACCAATAATTATGTTTTTTGGCACGCTAGGAAACTCACTCAATATTGTTGTGCTGACTAGGCCTGCTCTCTATAATCATGCTTGTTCTCGTTATTTTCTGGCTCTTGCTTGCACCAACCTTTTCTCTACAAGTGTGATTCTTACTTTCCGTCTTTTAAGTGATGGATATCAACTTGATGTAACCCGAACTTCTATTATTTTATGTAAAACAGTTTCATTTTTCTCTCAAACATCGGCTATATCCTCATCGTTCCTGACTGTAGTTACCTCGATCGATCGATTCTGTGCCAGTTCCAGTAGTGTTCGCTTACGTTCGTTTAGCAATGTCAAAGTAAGCCGGTGGGTTATTTTATTTATCCTTATTTCGATTGCACTCTTTCATCTCAATACTTTAATTATGACCGAACTACGATCGACCGACACGCTAGGATGCCGTATTCGAGGTGATACTACCTACAAACAAGTGTACACAATCATACAAAGCTTTTTATATGCTGTTATTGCACCTGTTCTCATGGCAATCTTTGGTAGTCTGACCATCTACAATATTAAAAAAACGAATGTTGCTCCCGCTGCAGGTGCACGCCATCGTCGCACTGAAAGTCAACTTGCTCGTATGCTCATTCTTCAAGTGGGCACTAACATTTTACTTTCAGCACCCTCTGGCGCCGGTAATTTAATAGCGATTATGGCAAATACGCTTTCAACCACGGCTGAATTTTTTATTGTGTATGTGTTCTGCCAGCTACTTTTTTATGCATCGTACACTACACCCTTCATTATGTACATTGTTTCGGCTAGTATATACAGGAAGGAGCTCATTCGGTTGTTTCACAAAATATCATGCCGACGTGTTAATGGTCAAATCAACATACTGACTAATCAAGTAACACCAATGAATTCATAACTATATCTATCCATGACTGATTTCTAAGTTCGAATATTAATGTATGTCTTTGTCTTTATGAAATAAATATATCTATTCTAAAATATTCTCATTTCTTGTAGAAATAGAAACGTAGTGCACTGTAGACAGTTAATCACGCTAAATTTCAATATCAAGATCTCTGGTGCTAATTGACTGTATAAGATTTGTGTGATGAATTTTGGAATGATCGATTTAGTAAGCGATAACGGGTGGGTACTGCGATTTTACAAAAGAATAGAATACCACTATCGATTTCGACTGATTCACAAAGTCTCAGGAAGTGGTTTCGAGTCTACATAATTAATATAACGGTAGAAACAGCTATGAGACGAAATCATACCTGATATAATTATTTTTTCCATATAGCTATCGGTAATTCTGGTTGTTGCATTAGTATCGCTTCTCAGTACTTTATCTCTTAAATCAAAAAAATTAAACATTAACTGTTCTAATTCGAAAATCATAAAATTAGCGAAAAATTGAAGGTCTGAAACAATTTTTTATATTTATCACTTATAGTCTACTATCATTAGTCAATCTGTGTATGTGGATGATTACAGCGCTTGTTCGGTATAATCTGTGAGTTTGTGTGTTCGCATCGGTTTATTTCTTTTTGTTTACAATTTCATTGAATAGGAACTGTAATGTACAATTTTTGCTTCTTAGATCAGAAATATTGAATTATAGGTAAGCTGATTACTAAATTTTGTTCGCTATTTGCTTCCTGCTTTTAGTATTGTATCATCGTACAAGGGACGTGAAAACAATTTCGACTACCTGTTTTTCAATTTAAAGAAAATTTTTCTTGTATTTGATATTGTTTTGCTGAATAAACGTGGTTTTACACTGTACAAATTATGGTTTACGAAGAAAACAATTCTGAATTGAACACAGCTACTGAATAGATAGATGCTATTTTACATGAAACAAGATTTCATTTCTTAAGGCGAAATTATGCTAGTGGAAGTTATAAAATATATCGGTATTTTGAAGAAGCGGCAATAATACATGTGCATATTCATAATGACCTAAGCTTTCTTTATGAGTGCAAATGGAATAATCTGATCCACATATTTCTCAGATTTCAAATTGCAAATCCTGCATTATGTCATAGCAAAGCATACAAAAAATGTCAGTTTATTATCTTAAGTGAAGAAATTCGATTAAAGGAAAATAATGTGAAACACTTCTCTACAGTTTGTGATAACACTTACAATGCATGAACAGGGTGTCTTCCCACTACAGTTGTGACGAAAATCAATTTCACGAAAAAAGGGAGCTAAATATAATATTTATTATCGCAAACTCCATAACTTAATTAATAAACGATATGACCAAGAGGAAAGAGGAGAAAAGAAAATTGTATATTAGAAAAAGGATTGTCCTATAATGATATTAGTCGATTTAATCGTTCAAAGGTCATTGCAGATGTTGAGTATTTATTCCATGACGTGTCAGAAGTTCAAAATGGATCAGTTGATTTTAGAACGTGGTATGAAAATCCAGATATTATCGGAATTCATATGATGGTCTATTAAATTTCAATCTGAATTTACAAAAAAATACCCATGTTTTCAATTGCGATAACATTGCACCGCAGTTGCGACGAAATTATCACATCATCTGGCAATCATATTTAGTACATGCTGATGAATACATATACAATAAGATTCCAACATCGGAAAAAAAAAATTTTCAAGAAGCAATAAAATTTTAAAACATATGAGTAGATGAATGCAAGTCGATACTGCCGAGAAACATGGTTTGTGGCCAATTAAACAAAGGAGAGAATGTCAGTATAAATGGTGCAGTTAATGAAAATATCAACTTTTCCGGCGATAATAATAAAAAGGAAACCGAGCCGTTGGCAGCTTTATGAACAGGGTGTGTGAGGATGGGAGGGTGCGCATCATTATTCTAGATATTTACACCCTTAATATCGACTTCTCTTTATTAGATTCTACCGTTTTCTATTTAAACAGACAGTATTGCACTCTAGATTATCTTTCTTATACGTAGTCGAGTACAAACAACTATTCAATAATTAAATTTTTGTTATGTATTAAAAATACAAGTTGAAAAGCAAAAGTATTTGTATATTACACCTCTATTGATAATTGTTTTTTATTTTACCGCAAGTTATTGATGCATTCGTTTTTACTTGTAAAAACGTCAATGACATGTACTTATCTGCTATCGTACGTTTCACAGATGCTTCGCTTCATTTTACATGTTTTGCCGTCGAAAAAAAGTATAGAAAAACATTTGCTGAAATATTAGTTTAAATTTGCATCTGAACTGTCCAAATTATTTCTCTTGCTTTGTTTGTTGCTTGCTTCGATACTAACAAGTGGGATAGAAGTATACGATTGTCTCACTGTTTATGAGATAATAGAGAATACATTAAAGTTACTCGAGCTGATAATCTAAATACAAAAATGAAAAGCGTCTTTCAATAATCTTCGTAATGTCAAATTAGATGAAGGTTTTCCCATTCAAAACCTGAAAAATTCATTTAATTAAAAAAGAACAATTTAAAACACAGAAAAAACAAACATAGTATTGCCTTTTTATATTAACTTTTATTCAAATTCTTTGGATTTTTCATTCGAACTCATGTAAAATCTTACTTACCAATTCCAAAACTTTTCGCTGTTGCACTCGTAACTTTGATATCGAAGTTTATCAAACGAAAAAATTCTTCTTTCGATTGTCAATTCTGACAGAGAAGTATTTTGCGCCATCTTCGATTATTTCTAGTTGGAAGAAGAGGGCCAATCAGAAAGTTTTCGGTTCTTTTTTTTTTATCTCTGACCTACATTGTTTTATTAATAAAGAGAAAAACAAGTAATCTATCGGACTCTAATGGTGATTTTGTAACTTTTACGTTTATAAGACAGCAAAAATACGATAAATTTAAAAAAAAAACAAGATTTAACATGGCTTGTTACATTGATGCATCTATTCCGTCAGGAAATGGTCGTCGAATTACACTACTCGGTACGGATTTGATCTTTGCGAGCATCGATAATGTTTTTGTTTATCCAACTGTTGATGTCGATCGATTACGAAATGCTCTTAGTGAAACGCTTTCTCTATGGCCGATTCTAACTGGTCGTATTATTGTCAATGATGACGAATACATGATTGAATGTTCTGATAATTCTGTTCCATTTAATTATATCGAAAATAATGAATTGGAATGTTGGCCAGATTTACCTGTTGTTGTTGATGATAAAGCAATACTTGAACCGTTTATTGATTCCGTTCAATATAAAACTGAAGTTGAACCACTTCTTCGATTTAAGGTTACTTATTTACTTCGTAGTAAGGAATATATTGTTGGTACAAGTACATCACACTTAGTTGGTGACGCCTATTCAAATATCCGTTTTCTAAATGATCTTTCTCAAATTTATCAACATCTTGAACCTTTACCACCTCGTCCTATTTTTCAACGATGTTTACTCAAGAAAGAAAAATTGGATCTTTCTTTTCCGCTTATTAAGGAAATATCAGAAAAAGCTGAAAAGATTGAATCTTTTTTTGGGCGTATTATCAAAGGAAAATCCGAAACTGAACAAATCAATTTATCTTTTTCTTCTGAACAACTTATTAGATTACATAGTATTGGTAAATGTGATGATGAAGAAGTGACGACTCATGATACACTTTGTGCTTATATTATTATTACTTTAAATAAATATTTTTTTCTTACGACGGATGAACATATCCAACGTGCTCGTATGATTATTAATTATCGTGGTATTTGTGATTCATTAGTGACACATGAACATGTCGGAAATTACATTATTTCAATACCATCTTCTCAGTTTACAGATTCACTTTCTTTACCATCTACTGCCAAAATAATTCGACAAGCAATTAAAACGATTCGTAATGAAGACTTTCTCGAAAAAATGGCTTGTTTCACCTGATTTGTTAACAAGACAACTTCTCAAAGATGGTCGTGTCAATTANTCGACTGCTTGTGTTTCTGTTTCTGATTGTAAACATTCGCTATGTCGAATTAAAACACAAAAGTCATATAAAACTTGTTTTATTTTGTGTTTTAATTCGACATAGCGAATGTTTACAATCAGAAACAGAAACACAAGCAGTCGACGATCAACAAACAGCACCAGTTACACCGTCAAGATTAGGTCGAAAGAGAAAAAGTCTTTTCTCGAACATTGAAAATAAAAATTCGAAGAAACAAAAAGTGGAACAATTTTGGTTTTATCAAAGATGAAATTAATAATTATCTCAATGATGATTCAATTGACGAATCGAACAGATTCGCTCTTCTTTACCAATCTCACAAGTACCCATCGTTGCACAGCTTATCATTGAAAGTATTGACAGTTCCAGCTGCTTCCTCTCCGGTGGAACGGGTATTTAGCCAGAGTGGATTTCTCTTTCGACAACATCGTGGGAAAATGTCAAGAAAGATGCTACAAATGTTGACTATGTTGAAAATCAATAAAAATTTTCTGTCGATTTCTTCTTAATAAACTACTCAATTAGGTTTTTTCCTTATATAACCACTGACTTGTGACTTGACTTGAATCAGGCAAATTCAAGTCAAATGACTTGAGTGACTTGAGCAAAAGAAAACTTCGATGCTTGACTTGACTTGTCAACGTGGAGCGAAGAAAAACGGGTGACTTGACTTCTTATTGAGGAGACGAAGAAAATGGCTGACTTGACTTGACTTGTGCCAAGAAGTTTTGTGCATGACTTGTCATGACTTGTGACTTGGAAAAGTCATGACTTGCCCATCTCTGCATGTAGTATGCATGTATGTATTTGTTTTCATTTTCGAAATAAACATTTACTAGCACATTTGAATCATTTTCTCTTTCTCTCATACACACACACGTTCCTAATATTTACGAAATTGAATAGTACTTTTCAAGCAATATCACCAATAAATATATAAAATCTATGTACTGAACGGTCGTTTTTCTCACGTTTATTCTTTGATTTTCTTCTCCTTGATTATGACGATGCATATTTCATATTGTATAATACAATGCGTGATCATACTCTCATAGCTTATAAGAAGAAAAAGAAAAAGCCTTGTCATGATTACGCGTCAGATATAAACTATATAAATAGCTGATAAATGAAGTTTCTTTCTATATTGATATAATCAAATAGTGGTTGAAATGTCTACAAATATATTTAAAAACGTTTTATTAATTGGTGGTACTGGTGATACTGGTAAACATATTCTTTCAGCTCTTCTTGCTGATCCTGTCTTCAATGTAACTGTTCTTTCTCGTCATAATTCAACTGCAAAATTTCCATCTAATGCTCAAGTAATTAAAGTTGATTATTCAGATAAAAATGCATTGACAAAAGCTCTTACTGGTCAAGATGTTGTTATTTCAGCTGTTGGTGGTGAAGGTATTGATACAAATTTTGGTATAACTTTAGTTGAAGCTTCAATTGATGCAGGTGTTAAATGGCTTATTCCATCGGAATTCGGTGGTGATTATGATGATCCATTTATAGACAATATTCCAGTTTTAGCATCTAAACCAGCAATTGGTAAATTATTAAAAGAAAATCAATCTCGTATTGCACATACATTTATTTCACCGGGAATATTTCTTGATTGGAGTTTTGATAATGGATTTACTGGTTTTGATATTGCCAATCATACAGTTACAATTTATGATGAAGGAAAACGACGACAATCTGGTACAACACTTCCAAATATTGCTAAGGCTGTTGTTGCTATTCTTCATCATCCAGAAATAGCTTTAAATAAACGAATATTTATAGCAAATACAACATTTTCACAACAAGAAACTTTAGATTATTTTGAAAAAGAAACAGGAATTAAATGGACAGTAAAACATGCTTCTTCAATAGAAACTATAAAAAATGCAGCAGAACAATTAGCACAAGGAAAAGTTATGGATGCTTTTGTTAATTATATAAGAAGTGCAATCTATGGTGATAATAAAATGTTTCTATTTGAAGGTCGAACAAATAATAAAGAGTTAGGAATACCTGAAATACCTTTGGAACGAATTATTAAAGAAGCTGTACAACGACAAAAAATTTCGCAATGAAAACGTTTCTTTCTCTGTTTTTATTACAGAAAATATTAATCTTTAATATTGCATGCATTTATTATTTTATTCGAAAGACAAATGTAAATCTTCCAGCTTTCAGTATGAACTCTTTTCCTTCAATTTAGAGAACAAGTAGAAATATTTTTTTAAGAACATATATTGAGTATATCATCTTTCTTTTACTAAGCCGATATTGATTGAGATTTTCTATCTCCACAGAAAAATCATAGGAAACGAAAAGGAAAACATCACTTGTTATATTTTTTGTCTATTGATTATAAAATCCGTCTGTATGTCTGTCCGATCGTTTATCCGATAACTCACGAAAAGTTTGAGCAATTGACAAGAACTTTTCTTGCACAGGTCTGTTTCATCAATATTTAGGTCGAGTTCGAAGATGGGAAGGATCGGTCGCGAAATAGCGGAGATATCGTAAAAATTCTAAAAAATCGCCCCTCCCAGGTGATTCTATCGGAACCTTTGGGAATCTGACACTTTCCGACATCTGGAACCGCATGTCGGAATCCTGTTGCAAAGATTCCGGCAAATTCCCATCGGGTCCGATAAGGTGACTTCGACCTGGGCAGGAGTTCTGAAGGAAGTACAGGAATTTTCAAAAAAATGTTTGCTGCTGCCGCATATATTCTTGTAGCCAGTTTCATGAGAACAACTATCTCTTAAAAAGTTATTCTACAGATGTTACCTTGGGTTCTCATATGCTATACTGTGAGGAGTACTCTTGGGTCTTCAAGTCCTGTGCTACAGGAGCACTCTTCGTTCCTCATGTGCTATACTATGAGAATAGCCATGGGTTGTTTCACGCTGAAGCGTGGAGATATTTTGGGTTGTCCAGTTTTAAACTATGACGGTATTCTTGAGTTTTCCATGGAGTCTCTCTAGCTATCGTGAAAGGTTTTCGAGAGTACCGTCATAGAAATATATCGCTTGGTTTTGCATTACTTGGTTGTCAGGACTTATCTTTTGTTATGTATTGTAAAATCTTGATATGATATTTAGAGTACTATGTTGCTTCAGTCTCATACACTTTTTCGAGTACACATCGATTTCCGATAATATCCGAAGTTTCTAAGAAGAATTTTATGTTACACCGTGTATAAAGCGTCAAATGTACGACATATAAAGCAATATAGAAGCAAATATATGTCAATGTAAATATAAGAAGTTTTGTTTTATCGAAAGAAAATAATTTATTTGGTCTTCTTATTAAATTTAAGAAATAGAAGACCCGGAGATAATCGATGCATTCGACGTCGCCAAGTCATAAGAGAATTTTGAAATGATTTCATATATGTATTTGAAGGTACAACAAAGATAATAAAGATAAGTATTGATGGTGTAAATGAAAAGAAATAAGCAGTTAGATATAACCATAAATTTTGTGATGTTCTTATACAACCAGGTAATGATGAAATAATTAAACGAGGCATTGATAATATTAATAATAGAATTGGACTTATTATTAATTGTTTATGTTCAATAAATTGTTGATAAACATGTTCTTTATAAGTTTGATTCTTTTGTGCTTTAGATCGTTGTCGTGCAGATCCAAATATAATAAATAATGCTGAAAATAGATTTGCAATTAATGGAATAAGAAGATGAAAAAATAAAATAATTATATTATAATATTGAATAGATGATGAATAACGAACAACACACCAAACATGTTTACTTGTTTTACTTTCATAAATTGTATCAATTGATGTTTTATTCTCTTCTGATTTGTCAGTTTCTTTTTCTATTTGTTCGGTTTTACTAATATTAATTTTATCAATTTCAGTTTCATATGTAAACATTTCACGATGTAAAGGTTCATGAAGAAGACTGAATAGAATACATAATGGTAATATGAAAATAATCCATCGAGCAATTTGTTTACTTTTCTTTTGATTGAATTTGACACCTTTTAAAACTTGTATTGCACGTTCAACAGCAACACAAGCATTTAACCAACTATCACAATAAAGAAAAAGTTTTAAAATTGGTTCAATAATAATACAACCACTACGACGAATAGAAAAACTTGTTAAATCATTGATTTGAATAAGAAGAGAAAACCAAAAATTAATAAAAAACATCGAAATTGTTAGAAGAGATGTTATTGATGATGTAAATAGATATATTCCACAACCAGTTTTTTGTAAATCTTTATTTTGAAATGTTAAATAAGAAAATAGACTATTAATTAATCCACCAATAAACATTAAAATAGTTAAAATAGAACTTATTTGAATTGAAGTTGACTGATGTGATAAAGTAACATTTAATTGAATTTCACCACGTAAAATATCATCAAGTGGTAAACCAATTGTTGTAGAATAAAAATGACATCGATCTCCAACGGAACAACTTTGTTCTTTAGAATCTAAACATATTTTCTTATAGACGAAGGTTATTTTTTAATAGAATTACATACTAAAATATTTGATAGTAGCGTGATTTTGACCAGATATAGATATGGAAAAATTTCCTGTTATATTTGGATAATATGTTGTTACAACTAAGATATATTTTGTATTTTCTTTAAGATTAATATAGAATTTCAATTGTTCTTGATTACATTTTCCACTGTGTTGTTTAATTAAATTTCCAAATGGTTGTAATGGATCAAAATGATCTTTATAAAGATAACCATATGTTTCTATTTTATTTTCACTCCAAATAACATATAAATCTGTTTTCATTACTTTAATTTCGAATGTTTCATAATAATAACTTCGTTTGAGATAATCACGACAATATCTTCGACTACTTATCTTTAATTCTGATGGATATTTCGATTGAATATTCACGAGTGTTGCTATTTAAAAATAATTAGATAAAAATCTTTTCTCAAACAAAACTAATACTTACAAAGACGTGTAATAAGAACATTCTTAACACCTGACATATGAATTGTAATATCACCAGTATCCATTGGAAAATATGTTGTAACAACTAATATATATTTTGTGTCATTATAAAGAGGAAGTTGAAATTTAAATTGTTTATTAGATCCTCCATCGTCATTTTTTGTCAAAAGATTTTCATTTGGATTAAGTGGATCAAAATTATTTTCATAAATAAAAGCATATGTATCGATTTGAGAAATACTCCATATTGAATAATAACGATTTTCAGGTACTTGAATCACAAATGATTGATAATAATAACTTTTTCTATTACAAACTTGTGAATAAATTTGGCTATTTTCAGTTAATGTTGAGGAATTTGTCCATTCAATAACTGAGAACATATCTATAGAATAAGAAAAACAAAACAGATTGGAATTTTATTTGAATTTATATTAATATTGTTAGTAAATGATTAGAATATTATTAATGATTTTCATTTCTACTTACTACAAGAATTTGGTGAATATTCAAATTTTTGAATTCGATGATTTCTTGAATCAACAACAAACATATTCCCAACACTATCAAAAGCAAGACTAGTTGGAACGAATAACTGAGTAGATTTAATAGTAATTCCATTACATCCGATCACACAAAGAATATTAGTGGGTCCTGATCGAAGAATTCGATTATTATTTGAATCAACAATAAATAAAAATTGTTGAACATCTAATATAATTGATGTTGGACATGAAAGTGAGTATTGATGCTTTGCAGATAATGTATTTCCTACTTCTGTAATAGTAAACTTTTTTTCGGAGTGAAATCGTTGAATTCGATCATTTCCACAATCTGCAACATATATATCGAGTTCTGTATCAATAAATATTCCATGAGGATGATCAAGTTTATCTAACGTTGAACCTTTATCACCTGTTCCAATGACGGCATTCCATCCCATGACAGAATCCTGAAAATCTCTTTTAACAACTTGATGATGTTTAGACATTGAACAATACAAGTAGTTCTCTCTATCAATAAATAAACCAAAACAAGAAGAAAAGACACTCATTACATTAATTGATACATTTTTATTAAATATCCATTTTTCCACTCGATTATTCATTCCATTATCAATGAAAATCTCACAGTCTGATGAAACAAATAAAGATGATGAATTATCAACATCAATCGAAATAATTTTTGATGGAATAATATGATTTTCATTCCAAAGTAAAATATGTTTTTTCTCTCGATTAATTGAATAAATTGAATTTTGTTTATCAATAAAGATTGAATAAGGATTTAAACCAACTATTAATTGATCAGCAAATGTTTTTCCATTTCGATTCCAAACTGATTTTGAACACAATTTTGGTTGATTAAATGGCAAATCTGTAAATGAGAAAAAGATTTTCAAATAAAATATATTTATTTTTGATTAATTTAATCTCTTAGTTTTATTCATTCATTCATTCATTCAGTATTAATTATGGATAAGATATTTGGTTATCTTAAAAGAAACAATCCTTAACATCAAACAAAAAATCGTTAATTTTTCATCAAAACTAAAGCGAATTAATAAATAACTCTTCTTTTTCTTATTGCTTTTTCTGTCAAATCTTAGCTGATTTTATTAAACTTATTCTGTTTCCTTGTTAAGAATTTATTGAAAAAATTATTTCTTCGTCGATTTCTATTTCTTTTCATCGAAGTCAAATGTTGTATTCACTTACCACAAGAATTTTCTATGGAGAATTTTTGAATTCGATTATTGTATGAATCAACAACGAACATATTACCAAAAGTATCAAAACTCATAGCGTTTGGACCATTCAATTGATTCGTTTGAGAAACGCTTCCATAACATCCAACTAAACATCGAAAACCGTAAGGTCCTTCTCCAATCACACGATAATTCTTAGAATCAACAATAAATAAATATTTATTAACATCCAACGTAATTCCAGTAGGAAAAACAAGTGAAATAGTTAACTTATAAGATCTTTTACCAGCAACTGTAATAGCATTTGTTTCTTCATATGAAAATAATTGTATTCGGCGATTCCCACGATCTGCCACATATAAATCTAAGTTCACATCAACAAAAATGCCATGAGGATATGCAAGTTGATTAGAATTGGATCCTTTATCACCTGTTCCAGCAACATAAATCAATGTCATCAAAGAATTCTTCAAGTTTGTTTTCACTACTTGATGATTCTCGATCATTGAACAATACAAATTATCATTGATATCGATAAAGAGATGAGAGCATGATGAATTTATATTCATAACAGTTTCAAAAGCGTCTTTCTCTGAAATCCATCTCTGCACTGTTCTATTCTCTTCATCTCCTTCATCAAAATAAATATCACCATTTAATGTTACAAATAAAGATGATACCTCTATGTAAAAAGATGAGAGAAATGAGAAATTATTTAAATTAATAGATGTGAAATTAAGATTATTTTCATTCCATATTAAAATCTTCTTTTCATCTCGATTAATTGTATAGATTGTATTATTTGTGCTGATAAAAATGGTCGAGGGCCATTTTTCAACAATAGATTGATTAGTAAAAGTAATAGCATTTCGATTCCAAGTTGCAGTTGAAGATAAATTTGGTTGATTAAATGAAAAAGCTAAAAGAAAATTTGAAGAAAATTCAACAAAAAGAATATATTTAAAGTTTGAAATGAACTTACGAAATAATTTTTTATTAGAAATCAAAAGAAGAAGAACTAAAATAAAAAGATTTCCCATTTTTCTTTATTATCAAATTGTTTTATGAAATAAAACACAAAAAACTGACTTTTTATAATGATGAAAAAATTACGAGAACGATTTCTCTATTTTATTTTATTTAAATCTATTTTATCACGTTTTTTCATTTTGTTAAATAAATTTCCTTTTCAAAAAAAAGTCATGACAATGTAGAATATATTTATTTGCAACTAATTCTTATGTTTCAAATGAATAGATTTTGATTTATTTTATTTCATATCATATTTCTTCAGAGAGGAAACAAAAGGAAATGATTAATTATTCAATAAAATAATCACGTTCATTTATATAAAATCAAAATCAATAATAAAATAATAGTCACGAATCTTGAACGTGAGTGGTAATGTGATCATGATTATACCCACTTTGAATCTCAAATAATATTTAGGTAATGAATTGATATTTTAACAAAGATCACAAATAGATCAAAACAAGTTTTTTTATTATTCTCATATCCAACCTTCATAACAATTAACCATCACAATATAAGACTTTCATCGAATGAGAATTTTGTCTTTAAAATATCACAAATAAACTTCTGTATATCATTGTATTTTTCACATTATATGCAAATATGATTCAAATTTAGTGAAAAATAAATACGGAAACTTTGGACTTTATCCGAAAGTGTATGAGACTTAAGCAACGTCATATCAAGATTTTACAATGAACAGCAAAAGATATGTCCGAGCATCCGACTCTAAACGAGATATTGCTATAACGCCACACTCGAAAATTTTTCACGAGAGATAGAGAGAGAGATTCGATGGAAAACTTAAGAATACCATCATAGTTTCAAAGTAGAGAATCCAAGCCATCTCCACGCTACAGCACCTACATGTGATACTCGAAAGCTGAATTCAGTTAAGGGTGAGGATGAGTGCTAGACAATGATTACGGGTATCGACTACATTGTTAAGGTGCTATGAGTTGTTGAATAATATCGAGCGGTCACGTTGCGTGCCGGAGGTATATCAGATGGTAGTATTAGTGTGTGAAGTAGATCTTAAGAGAGATACATGAATACGGAAGTTTTGTGGTTGTTCGAACATATTCAATGCAAAGTTCTATACTGTTTTTTATGGAAATTTTAGTCTGGGTACTCAAATATGTTTGCTCGATAGAATGATGAATCGAATATGGCTATGAGAATTTCTTTCCAGAAATTCTTTTTTATAGAAACAAACATTTGAGTAATCGAATTCAAGTTTCAAGTATCATATTTACGCAGAATATGTAAAACGCAAATATATAACTTTCAATTAGATATTCAAGTGTTGCTGAAAGCATAAATTTATTTTAATGTTTACTTATGGCATCATATATAAGAGAAAATGAGATTTCTTTCTATAAGCTTAACAATCGGCGATTATATACTGATTCAATAGAAATTCAAATTATACAATGATCAATATCTTCTCACGTTCGATTTTGCTTGGCTATTTGATAATAAATATTTTCACTATCGTTTATGTGAAATGTGCTGTAAATTGGCATGGAAAGAATTAGACTAAGCAATGTGATTTCTCTGGTAAAGATCTTTCCAAGGTAAGAATTGCAGCAGAACTTTGTGGAGGAAAATGTGCTGAAACAGACAAATGTACTCATTTTACATGGTCAAATTATAATGGAGGAACTTGTTGGATGAAAAAAGGTGCAGGGTCGAAAGATGATACCGTCTCAACAAGTGATTCAACTATGATCTGTGGTGTACGAGGTAAGTTCAACGTATTTATAGATGCAAATATTGCTATCGATTTTATAGATGGTACAGGTGGTGGTGGTGGTGATGGTAATATCATTAATGAGCAAACGTTCGCCTGTGTATTCAACTCCATCGATTCAAACACGAGAGCTAGTAGGTTTAGTGGACTTCGAGAATCTGGTTGGAAACCAGCGATTAAAGATGAAGCAGCAGTGTTTCTTGCTCATGTCTTTCATGAAACTGATGGTTTAAAAGCTATGCGAGAATATTGTGCTCCAGGTGATTTACCATTTTTTTTGTATGATCAGGATAGGTTCATTAAAGTTCTTTTCTTTATTCTCATATCTGATTAGGTTGTGCATCGAATTATGCTGGATCGTGGTGTGAAATTAAAGGAAAACCCGGTAAGTTGTATTATAGTCGTGGTTGGTTTCAACTCTCGTGGCCTTGTAATTACTATGCCGCTAGTAAAGCTTTGGGTGTTGATTTGCTTAGTAATCCGAATGCTATTGCAGACCAGGCAAGTCTAATCAGCAATGATGATTGAATGATTCTGATCATCAACAATCATATCTGTCGGTCTATCCAATTTATCCAATCTGTTTCCTCGTCCATATCCACCCGCAATGATTTCTCCTTGTGTTTCATTGGATCTCCATTCAATAATATGATGGTTTACCCAATCAGCAATGAAAATGTTTTTATTTTGATCAACAAAGATTCCATGAGGATGATAGATTTGATATGATTGATTTCCTTCAGCAACAATTCTTCCGAATTGTCGAAATTTCTTTTCTAAATAAAAGAAAACGGAAAAAGAAAATAGTGTAAGTAAAAGAACATTACTTTTTTGTTGATTCATTGAAATTTGTCTGGTTAAATTGTTGAAAGAATCGATTGACAAGGAATTCGAATTATCTAAATGAGAAAAATCTAAAAGAGTTTTCAAAGAAAACGTTTTTGTTGATAATTTGTCAAATTAAATTCTTCGATCGTTAATTATTTTTTGTCTTTACTTACTAATTGTTGAAATAATTGAAATTTCCTTAATAAATCCTTGATTATTTTCTTTGATGAAAATGTTCGATTGATCATAAAATGCTTGATTAATTTTGTTTAATTTTTCTTTTAAATTTTCTAAATCGAATTCATTGAAATCTTCTTCTCTTTGCATTTCTTTGATTTCTTCACTTAATCGTTGGAATTTTTCTTCAATTTCATTTGAATGTTTTTCGGAATAATCGAAAACTTCTTTTCGACAATTTTCAGCAGTTTGTTTACTTAATCGAATAGAATTTTGTTCCCATTGATTAATTTGTTCAATAAAAGAAGAATTAATTTGATTTTCTTTGATATTTTGTTTAAATTGATCAAAATCATTGATAATAAAATGTAATTGATCATTTAATTGTTGTTGATGTTCAGGAAAATCTTTTTTACAAAATTCTTTCGGACATCCTTTACAAAGAAATGTGATTCGTTTGAATTTCCGACATATAAAACATTGTGTTGTATTCTTAGCCATGGCCATTTGTTTGAAATGAAATTGATAAAAAGACGATACGATTATAAATATGTGTAACTTGAGAAATGAGTCAATATTTAACCTCTTGAATACCGCAAGCTTCAAATTGAATTCAGACAGAACGAAAAAAAATATCATCGTTCTGTCGTATCAAACAACATGTGTATATGCACGAGAAAATGAATAGAGGCTCGTTCATATATTACATGGTGATCATGATCCTAGTTCTCTTCTTTCTAGACACGTAATTAGAAAGCTGAAGATGATTTTTTTTAAATTTATTTTTCTAGATTTAGTTATAATTAACTTATAAGTTACTATGATATATTGTTATGGCACGTAATATGACGTACCATAAGATGACTCATGACATAGGGTCTTTTCCATATGTTCGTTCTCTTTCTTGTCTTATATACATATGATTACTATAGATATCACTCATTCTCGATCCTAATAGGGATTTTCCAGAGAGCTTCATCTAGGTTTCTTGCCTTGTAATAACATCTTTGGAATTTTACAAGCTTAGATGAAATCTATTTTAGTATATTCCAACTAGGTGTGTGGCATACTATATAAATAGCTCTCGTCTTTTATGGAAATGGGTCTTGCTTTACTATTTTGAAATAAACTAGTTCTACCACACTATACGGACATAACATATATATCGAAGCATTCTGGATAACACAAAGGTGGTGCATTAGGACATGTACGACATATATAAATAATTAGTTTTCGAAGATTGCGCGATCGACACAGTACACAATATTTCTGAACGTGTCCTCGTCTTTTGTCATTATATTCGGTCTTGTCTAAAGTAAAAAAGTATTATCTTATTATGTGTAAATGTACGCCCATGTGAAAGAAAAGTAGCAAAAAAATACTTATTTTCACTGTTCATATTAATAAAGTAAACCAAGTGCACTTTGCGTACTATTTCGTACTATGTAAAGTAAAATTTCATAATATTTCGTACTTTTTCAAATTGCTTCGAAATATTTTCACACTTTTGAGGAAAAAACATAATTTATCGTACTTCTAAAAGTATTTTATATCCCTTTTCCAACTGTGAGAAGTACTTGTAAATATTTTTGCTAATACAAGATTTACTTTGAAGTACTTAAAAGTTTTATAAAGTACTTTTAAGTAATTCTGAAACTTTTCAAATTACATTTGAATACTTCGTTACTTTTACAAGTACTTTTTAGTACTTTTGCATGTGTTAAAGGAAACTATGATACTTCACAGTATTTATTAAAGTATTTATTATTAATTTAAGCAACAGTTGTCAATATTTTATACTAAAGTTTACTTTTGAAAATAATTTTTATTAAAATTTGAACATTTATTTATCCGTCTCAAAAATTTAGTATTTATCATTATCATAGTATTTAATAATACTTTTATAAATAGAGAAGTAGATTTTCTGAAGAAACTTGCTACTTTTATCATAGTGGAAGTTAAAACTAATTTTTGAAAAGTTAAGTTGACAAAATTCAAAAAAGTTAAAATGGTTATAACGGGAGTTATAACTTTTAACCAATATCAAGGATGATAAAGCTGATACTGCCCATTCTATAGCGCTTTATATATAATATAAATTGTCCTGAATCCTTTTGTTAACCATATTGAAACGTTATGAATTCGGAATTCGATAGATGCTAGGACTAATAAGATCCGCGTCCTTCCCTATTGACCAATACTGAAATGGCATAAATTATGTTTAAAAAAGTTCTGTAAAGGTCTATACTCACTACAATTAAAGAGATAATAAACATGTTCAGATTGACACAATCGAGAAAATACACGACAATAACTACGGCAAAAGGTTTTAACTGCAGCTATAGGTTATAAATGTGGTTAAAGGTTATAACCGGGGTTAAATGTTATAACTGAATTAAATTTTGAGCCAAAAAGTTGATCGGTTATAACTCGAGTTGTAACCTCACCAGTCTTAACTCCCACTATGAGTTATAGGCATGTAAATGTCGTAACACGTAATCGAATCTCCACCCGAATGCTATACATGACAATGAAACAAATACCAGCAATTTCTCTATCACGTTTCGGCAAAATGTCGAATATATACACCACAGTTCACTAACTATACTCGCAAAACTATTAAAATGACATTTGGGTAAAAGTACTTATAAGTACTTTCTAGCTCGCATCCAGCCGACGCGAGGGAGGATATATTCAGCCGGCCGCCGTGATGAACGAAGCCTATAAATACCCAGCATAACAGTCTTTTTTCTCATTTATTCAGAAAACATGGCAGTAGGCACCTATCAATAATTAATTCGAATATTACTTTATATTATTTTCGAAAGTACTTTAAAGTAATTCTCATTTGGGCTTTTTAAAGGCGTGTTGTCGTAGTTCTAGTTCTAGCGAAGAACCTCGATTGAAGCGATTTAGGAATTGACAGCGTTGGATCAAGATGGAGCAATACGTTGAGAATGAAACATTTATTACTGATACAATGCTCTCTGGTACAACAATGTGTGAGTATGCCGTAACTACAGCAGCAATCATCCTAGACATTGTTCTTTCAGTAGCACTGAGCATTGCTACAGTCACGACGACTCCGTCACTATGGTATTTCAGTATGGTATATTCATCTGGTTCTTGTCAACAGTCCTGAACGTCTTCACAAGCTATATGGTAAGGCAGGAAGTCTAGCGCCACTGTTTTACCTGCTTGACATGCATAATCAAGTGTGAATTATATTGCACAGAGCGGCAATGACTATTTTGCGACAACACTGGAATGCAGTGAGAACACTTATGACAACTCGAAAAAGAATGACACTGTAAAATAAAACCAAGTACATTCCGTTGTTGTCGTAAAATAGCCATTGCCGCTCTGTGCAATATAATTCACACTTGATTATGCATGTCAAGCAGGTAAAACAGTGGCGCTAGACTTCCTGCCTTACCATATAGCTTGTGAAGACGTTCAGGACTGTTGACAAGAACCAGATGAATATACCATACTGAAATACCATAGTGACGGAGTCGTCGTGACTGCAGCAACGTTTAGTCCTATTGAAATTTAATAAAAGATTCTACTGTTGTCGTGAAGGGATTAGGTAATAGTTCTCGGTGAGAAAATCTTTTCGTATACTTTGAAGAATATGCTAGAATAGTATGTTGTAATTCTCAAAACCTTAATAATAGTAATCACAAGCACTACAAGGAAGATACCGCTTAAAGTACTTTTTGGCTGAAATGATAGTACTTTTTAGTACTTACAAAATTATAAGATAAGAACTTTAGACACTTTTAATAGTAATAAATAGTACTTTTCACTTATTAGTATACTAATAGTCAATTAAAAAGGTTCACTTATAAGTACTTATTTGACTTGTTAGAAAAATATCAAAAGTACTTTTTAGTAAAATATTGCGGCTGAAATTTTTACATGGGTAATTTATTTATTTATTTAATCTATTTACTTTATTATCAATAATTTTGAGATCCATCTTTTTTCTTATCAAAAAATTTTCTACTTTATCTCAATAGCTTGTATAAATTATCGATCATTCCAATATTCTTTCCTTTATTTAACTAACATTAAGAATATTAGGATTTTATTCCAAGAATCTAACTCATTCAATAGTTCATTATGTCACTTATTATCATCTCCTTAACATTAAGAACAGTTGGACTTTATTCTACTAATTCATTCATTTATTTATTTTCCAACCATATAATAATCTATCTTATTTGGGTTCAGTAATGTTCTATTATTTATTCTTTTATTTAATTTCTTCAATATTTCATCTTTTCATCTGAATAATCCTATGTATCTTAATAGCTTTTGGTTTATCCACTCGTACTATTAATATTCTGATAATCTTTGTTTTATTTATATCATCAATATTCTAGATAGTTTTACTATCTATTAACTCATAATGATGCATGTTATTGCAACAAAGTTAATTAATTTCTCTAACAATTTACTTTTTCATCTTAATAACTTCTTTTATCTCCTGAATTTAATTATTAACAGTTTGATAGTTTGTTTAATCTTTAATTACTACACAATTTTTTTTCCTTCTTTTATATAAGTACTATCTCAAAAACCAAAAAATTTGAATCCAAAATCTATCTTAAAAATCTCTCAACCAATCTCATCAATAATTTAGTAGTTTAATTAATCATGAATTTATTCAAATGTCACTTATATTACGTACTAGTCAATTTCTATTATGTTTCTCTTGTGTATAATGCATAAAAAATAGCAACAACAATTATAATTTGTATTGTAGTTTATTTTATTTTATATTGGTTTTAAAAATTTACATTTTATTATATTCATATTCTATACAGAAATAAGTCTTTTAACGTTCTACGTGATAATGATGTATGTTTAGCATCGAAAGCTCGTAAAATATGAAAAATTTCTTTTTTATTTTCTGCTTCATTTTTCGGACATTCATTCTTTGTCATATGATAACGTAAAATCGTCTTTATTAATTAGTCAAAGTTTATTTGTAATGATTTATGTGGCCACTGGTACAGTTTTAGTCGGGTTTCTTTTGACTTTCCTCATAATAAATATTTTAAGTGGATCTGTAAATTGAAATAAAGCAATCATAACAAATAATAATGATGTATCAAGAAATATAAAAACAACACGAAAATGATATTTTGGTGGAGTAGTAAAAAATGATATGAAAATGAATGTAACATATGGTATACCAATCATAGTAATACCAAAAATAAGAATAACTATTCGTCGAACCATTTTTAATTCTTGTTTTGCACGAAATAAAATATTAACTCGTGTTACATTTTGATTCATTTTTCGCACATAACGAACTAATAGAAAATATATCAAAACAATTGATGAAATTGGTATTATATAAATAAAAAATGGATTATAAATTTGAAAGAAGGAAAATCTTAAAGGCATTTGACATATTTGATTATCAAATATATATTTTATTTCACCGGTCAACATTATTGGTAGAGGGCATAAAAAGCTAAATATCCATGTTAAACATATAAGAAACAATTGAAATCGAGCTGATTGCAAAAAAATTCGATCGAAATATAAAACAACTACATATCGATATATAGCTTGGATTAAATAAGAATAATTTGTAAGAGCAGTAACAACATAACCAACATAGCCTCGAAAAACACATAGTGAATCTTCATATTGAATTTGTTTTAAATCATTATAAAATGTAAATATATTCATTGCAAGAACAACACTTCCATAAAGAAGTTCAGTTAAACATGTATTAGCAAAAAGTAACATTGGTATTGTATGACATGTTCTATCACATATTACTATAAATATATAAATTATTGATAATGTTACACAAAAAGTACTACATAACATTTCAAAAATATCGAGAGGAATAAACCATCCTTCAATGTTGACTACAATCGAATTATTATTTAATTCCATTATTCTAAAACAAAAGAATTAAGTTTCAGTAAAGATTTTTTCAAAAATGAATGGGTAATTAATTGTTCCCAATCGTTCAACAAAATACCAACTTCTATTTTTTTGCGGGTGACGGTAAGGGTCTGATTTTGTTACGGAACTTCAGAAATGATAGGGACCAGGCTTTAGAGGTAGATTCTGCGTGAAATGAATGATTTCGGAAATGTGTATCACTGCGGAATAGGAAGTATTCACCGACCGAGATATCATTCTTGAAAAAGGACATCTTCTACTTCGTCACTTTGTTTCTTTTTATAGCATCACACATTTTTAAGCGATCAAAACTCATTTTGTTCTTTGCTTAAATAAAAGAAAAATACATAATGACATCTATTTAAGTGCTAAGCAGAAATATATGAATGCTAAGTAAAAAATTGAATGTTTTATAAGTAAATTGTTTGATATAAACTTAAGTAAGAAAAGATTTTTAGCTAAGTAATGTAACGGATAATAAAAGATGAAATGATATTGATGATAAATGTTTTGTTACTGCTGTACCATTTTATTTCTTCTATTATATTTATGATCAAAATGACAAACTGGTACGATATTCTCGTTGTGTCTCATATAATACAGAACATTGTCGCTTATAGTTGACACAACGAAGAACAGAAAAGAAGAAAGATTAAAAGAAACAAGTGAAGGACTAGCCAATACACCGATAATGTATTCAATAATATGCTTTGAGATGCGCGGTTTCAATGAAAACGCTGAAAAACTGATTCAGTTTGCACCAACACTGATCAAGCAGTGTCGGCGATGGCATTAATACGACGAATATTATAAAATGCTTATCATTCACAAATTGCTTTCTCATTCCAATGCGAGAATATCGAATGGAATAATCTGTATACACTTTCAAAAAAATAGCATGAAATTAATGATCGCTCATTCTACATCAAGACATGACAAGGTGATAGTAATGTAAGATATTTGAATAAATATTTCTTATCTAATATGAATATTGTACTTTTATAACATTTCCAATTAAACAGAGAAAATTTTTATGGCTGTAACCGCATATATCGTATCTATTTACTAGTAACGCTCGTCGAGACAGACTCGCTATGCCCTCGACTGAACCGCTGACTGAAAATAAAATAGTCTTATGTGCGTTTTATGCAAAAAAAAGACAGAAGTATAACATTTGAAAGGGTCCCCAGAAACTGATCTTCATTCGCCTCACAGTCTTCAAAAGAGTCAAAGGACTACTTGTGCTGCTTTTAATTATTCTATATACCTTATTGACAATTACTCTTCACAGGAAGCAGAAGTTCGCTACAAATAGCTATTATGGATTTGCACCTTTGAACATGCCCTCCTTTTTCTAAAAGAAAGATAATTTCGGTAAGACCAAATGCGACTCTGTATATATTTCGCATTCGAACGTGTCGGATTGTTGATACTTTAGTAACTGGCTAGATTATCAGGCGCCACTCCCAACTCGCCGCTCCAAAGCTGTCCCTATCTATCATATAATTACCCGTGTGCTACTAAAAAGTATCGAAAATTAATTAGCATTCCATCAGCATCTCATAGTTAAAATTATCCGCGTCCGAACATTTGAGGCTATCTCCTTAATTAAAAGGCTTAAAGACCTACAAAAACTTTCAATATATCGAAGTTCAGCAGTTAAGATTGCTCTCCAGTATGTAACTTGTGAATGAATGTATTTTTGGATTAGCGGCCTTTAGTATGCGACAGTCAACCGAGTGTGTTTTTATTTTTTCGTAATCAACTCTTCTATGTAGCCCTCCTCTCAGGCGCAGTTGAAATGTTTTCTTCATTTCTGTCACGTCCCTGCACCTTCACCCGTCATCCAACCAACCTCGAGCCTCAGGATCCCTCCCAAATGACGTTTTATGAAGTTGTGAGCATTTTTCAAGAAAATGTTTTTTTGACCTTTGACCCTGACACAAACATACATACAGACACACAAACTAATTTTTTTCATAGGGCTCTCCTTTCAGTCGAGGGAATTATGAAAAGTGTTTTGCCCATATTTTTTTCCTAAGATAGTAAGAGCACCTAATTGTTTCACACCTGAGATAGGTATACTTAGGTCAATGCACCCACATGATTTCCATTGAAATCCTCGGGACACACCTGGGTATGTCCCCTTGTCAGTACTGTTGAGAAATGGTCTAAACGGTTTCGTGAAGGTCAAGAAGATGTTGAAGGCAAAGATCGACCTGATCATCTAAACCTTAGAAAAATTAACAAAATTGGAAGACATATCACGGCGATTATGTAACGTGGTAACAAGTGACGGTCCTGTTTCATGGTATTACACTACACCATGATAATGGTGCGCCTCACGCCCATAAAGCTGTGCATCATTATCTTAAATTCTTTAAACAAAGAAGAGTATTTGTCCTAAGTATTAGTAATTATTCACAACCATTCAAATAGGTAGAGGAATCGTATATTATGGATTGATAATCGAAAAAAAAACAAGTATGGTTATTAAGAGACCATGAAGCTTTTTTAAAAATCAGCGTTAAGTTGGGTTTACATCGATTACGAACAGCGGTTCAAAACAATAGTTATACTAGCATCCTCTCCGTTCGCCACTACTAGATCCAGTTTAGCATCATTATTGAAATCTCCTGCAGCTATATATGTTGAAGTTGGCCCAATTGTATACTCTGTTTGACTTTGGAATGTTCCATCTCCAATACCAAGAAAAACGCTCATAGTATTGCTTATGTCGTTACACTGAAAAAAATATTCGTAGAATAATAAATCCATCAAAAGGATGTAGCAGTCTCAGATATATCCTTTAAGGGTTTATGCTGTGTCATGAATCCTTTCGTAAATCTTTTCGATCGATAAATCCTTAAAGGATATATCTGATACTGCTACATCCTTTTGATGGATGTATTCTTCTGCGAATATTTTTTTCAGTGTATAGTTACTATTAAGTCTAATATTCTATCATCATTAAAATCAGCCGTTATGACAGTAAATGGAACATCACCAACGTTGTATATAGTTTGATTTGAAAAAGTTCCATCACCGTTACCCAGAAATGTGCTGATACTTTTATCCTCATCATTAGTCACAGCTAAATCTAATATATTATCTTTATTAAAATCACCTGCTACAATAGCATATACACTGAGGCCAACTGAACACGTAATTGGATTCTGAAAAGTTCCATTTCCGTTACCAAGAAGCAAGTCTACAGTATTTTCATTAGAATTGACTACTGCTAGATCTAAGATGTTGTCATTATTGAAATCATTTGTAATAATAGCCATTGGACTGCCATCAAATTCATATGTCAATGAATCATGAAATGTTCCATCACCCTTTCCAAGCAAAATACTTATAGAATTTTCATCAAAGTAGGTCACTGCTAAATCCAGTTTATTGTCATGGTTAAAATCACCGACAGCCATATGTGCTGGAGACATATTAATCGAATATATCGTTTGATTTCGAAATGTTCCATCTCCATTACCGAATAGAATGCTTAAAGTGGTATCATCGAAGTTAGCCACTATTAAATCTAGTTTTGTATCAAGATTAAAGTCACCTACTACAATATATCCCGAAGAATTACCAGTTGAATAGGTTGTTCGATTTGGAAAGGAGCCATTTTCTCCCTCGAGTAACACACTAATACGGTTATGTTTGGTATGTGCCACTGCTAGGTCAAGTTTTGTATCATAATTGAAATCATCTGCGACTATAAAGAAAGAATCATAGCCAATTGAATACTTTATTTGATTCGAAAATGTTCCATCTCCATTACCAAATAATACATGAATAATATTCGCGCTTAGGTCAGTAACTGCCAGATCTAGTTTATGGTCTTGATTGAAGTCATCGGACGTAACAGTAACTGGACCGAAGCCAAATGTATAAATAATTTGACTTCGAAATGTTCCATGTTCACTTCCAAGAAATAAGCCAATGTTATTATCATTCTCGTTGATCACCACTAAATCCAGTTTCTTATCATTATTAAAATCTCCAACTGTAATAAACATTGGATATTGACCAGTCATATAAACTGTTTGATTCTGAAATGTTCCAACCCCATTACCAATCAATAAACTGATACTATTACCATCACTATTGGTTACTACTATATCTAATATGTTATCATGATCAAAATGATCTACTACAATATATATTGGCTTAATACCAACTAAATATATTGTTGGATTTTGAAATGTTCCGTTTCCATTACCAAGCAAAATTCCAATTTCTCCACCGTCATGATTCGCCACTACTAGATCCAAGTTTTTGTCATTATTGAAGTCGCCTGCGGCAAAAGTCTTCGAACCGAAATTAAGTATAGTAATTATCTGATTCTGAAATGTTCCATTTCCATCATTAATCAAAATACTTATGCTTTTGTTATTGAAACTAGTTACTGCTAGATCCAATTTTTCGTCATTGTTAAAGTCATTTACAATAATAAACTGCGGGGAACCAGCAACTGTATAAGTGATTTTATTCTGAAATGTTCCATCTCTTTTACCAAAAAGGATGCTAAGATTATTGTCATCATAATTAGTCACTGCTAGATCTAATCTGTTATCATTGTCAAAATCACCTGCAGCAATAAATGATGGATTGGAGCCAACTTCATACGTCGTCTGATCCCTAAACGTTCCATTTCCATTTCCAAGAAATACAGTGATACTATTGTCGCTTGGATTAGTTACCACGAGATCTGGTTTATTATCATTGTTAACATCTTTTGACATGATACATTCCGGTCTATAATTAGCTAATATTCTATCAACTGAACCGAATGGTAGTTGGCAAATAGGTTCTAAAGATAGATAGATTTTAAAAAAATAAGACAATGAATAGTCTTTTCTTGTTTTAAATTTTCAAAATTAAAAAGTATCATTATGATACTTACGTGGTTGTTCGGTGGTCGTTGATGTAATCGTTTGTGACTTTTTCGGAGCAAGAAATACAAATTTTAACAGAAGAGAAAGAGTAATTACAAAAATAATTAAAGTAACCAACGATATGAATGTAATCTTCGATCGACGTTGCTGCCACCATTCATGTCGTTCAATGACCTTATTTGTATATTCGCTAAAACTCGGATTTCTATGCATATTGCGTTTTTACAAAAACAAAAACGCCAATTCAAACAGTCTAATGTTATAGTCTGATGTTCGCACAGAACTGAGCAAAGATAAGAAGTTTTTTAATCTTAAACACTGAAGGTATCGTCATACTCTTATCTTCAATCTGAGATCGTGAATGTAGGCAGTGTACAATGACACGAAACTAATGTAAATGATGAAAATTATATAGAAAGAAACATAACCTAGATTGAAATTTGTGAAGCAATCACGTTTGTAAGTTTATCTGTCACAATTGGCGCTATGGAAAACCATTAAGAACGGTAAACTTCTCGTTTTTTGTGTACTCAAAAAGTGAGTACACTACTAGAATCGGTCAGTGTGGCCTGCCGGCCGTTTATGCGATAACTTTTGACTGAAGAATCAGATTGTACTGAAAATTTCTACGCACCCTCATCTCATCAATATCTCAGTCGAGTTCGAAGATGAGCCCAATCGGTTGTACTGTTGTTGACTTTTGATAAAATTTTCTTCAATCCTCACATCCCTAGGGGAAATCCTTGTTATTTCAGTGCCTGATCTTTGGCAAATTTGGTTAGGATCAGGTCAAGATTTGAGGTTTTTTCCTGAGGAAAGGCATAAATCTTGGAAGAACCGTGTAGCCGCTTTTTGGTAAGGATCTTTTCAGGAATTATATCAAGAATTCAGACGGATTTTTCACTGAACATCAATATTTTACGATCAGGATATGATCAAGATATTCGAAAATCTTGAAAGAAACGTGTAGCCGCTTTTTTCTCAGGATCTGCTCAGGATTTATATAAAGAATCCATTATGATTTTTTGTTAAATAGGACTATTTTACTATCTAGATCTGGGTAGGAAGTCTAAAAATCCTGGTAGAAGTATCTAATCACGGTTTATCAGATTCTTGACAAGATTTATATCAAGATTAGAGAAAGTACCGAGTAGGAACGAGCAAAAATCTTGGAAAGATCCTTTCAGGATTTCCAAGAATTATTTGAAAAAAGAATTTCTCAGATCCTTTCAGGATTATATCTCATGTTGTTGGTATACCCATTATCTAGTTTCTCCAAGGGTTTTATCAGGAATCTACAACTATTTAATGGATTATATTTAGTTGTTATGTATATATACAAGATTATAACTTACTCAGACCTTGGCAGGATTGTTGCAGAATTATCTAAATAGAACAGAGTAAATGTGAACACATAGAGATTCGAACTCTAGACCTTCAGTTTATGAACTGAACAGCTAACCCAGCTGGACTGTGTTCTCGTTCTAAGAATATAGTTGAACATGATTTTATGTTTTCTCTTTATTCTAAAATATATAAAAAATTTTTCAGCTATTATGTTTTTGATTATTAAAATTTATTCAATTATCGAAATGTGTGATCAGATGAGTAAAGAAATTTTATTTAGTCACTTCTAAATTTAAAGAAATCGATTATTATATTTAATTATTTTTATTCATGGAATCATCGGCGGGCCGGCAAAAATTTTTCAGGGGGGGCAATTGCCCCCCCTCGCCCCCCCCTCTGGCCCGCCGATGCATGGAATAAAGACAATTTTCATACTGTTTAATGCGTTGGAACAATGACTAGTTTAAAATAAAAGATATAAACGAGTAATAAAACATAATAATACCATATCCAGGAAGGAATCTTACTAATATCCTTCCCATATCTGTACATGGATTTGATCAAGAATCGAAACTAGTTCAAAGAAAATCCTGTTCTCTCATTGTATCATACTTTGATTTTATTTTGTTAAAAGGATCTTGATGTATATATTTCAGGAGTTTTTTTGTTAAGGATCCAATCAGGATCTTGATTATATCTCATTGATTTCTAATCAAGATCTTGGTGATAGTTAGATTGATTTAGATAGAAAGAATGATGGCTGATTTGGAAAAGATCCGAGCAAATATAAAAATATTTTTCAAAACTTTCTGAAATAGGAGATAAAAACTAAATTAAATGAAATAATGACTGAAATTTGACAAGATTCTGGACTGATATATCACAGATTTAGAAACCTATAGTTATACGAACGGATCATACGATTATCCTGATGAAGTTTAAAATACTAAAACACGATTCTTGGCATAATCTGTTCAAGATCTTGAACTGATTATGGATAACTTTTATAAAAATCATACATTTCTGTTAAACTAAAACATCCTAAGAGATTCTTGAAGGAGTCTAGAACAGGATCCTGCTTTATCTTACTCTACTTTAATACATTACATATCTCATAGACTTTCTATCTCAGATTCTGACAAGATCCTTTAGAAATAATAATAATGCAAACATAGAATTTCATATTTTAATTATAGCACTTTATACGTCATAAAGATCCTGAGCAGATCTTTGAAGAAATCTAAAGAATATTTTGTTAAAATTCTTTTTTCACGAGTTGTCAAGAGTTTGAGGTGAAACATGTAAGGATCTAGTCAAGATTCTAAGGATAAATATGAAAACTTCTAAGAATGAAAATTTGGAAAGATCTTAACAAATTCTTCTTAATTTCTTATCAAGATCCTGTTAATATTTAATATTTCTCGAGTTAAGAGAACACTATTATTTTTGACAAGATCTTGGTACAATCCTGAAGAAACGAAAACAGCATATTCTAATGATATCAATTGAGAAATTGATCCAAATTTTGTCTGGAAGTTGACAAGATTTTGTCATGTATGTAGATATCTGACCAGAATATCTTTTTTTGTCAAGATCTTTTTCTGATTTATCTTCATTTCCTGAAAAGATCGTGAAATATGTTTATCCGATGAATCTTGATAAAAACTCGAGAAAATCTTGATATGACATTAGCTCGATATCCTTGCTAAGATCCTAAACACGATCCTAGAAAAATCGTGACAGGATTTTGTTGTATCCGTCTATCAAATTAATCCGAGCAAGAACCTAGGAAAATCCTGATGAAAATCTTGTTTCACTGTGAGATATCCTATAGAAAGGAAAATATCAGGATTCAAAACAAGATCTTAAGTTAAACCTGATCGGATCCTTTACGAAAGAAAACACAAGGAATTGCAACAGGATCCTTAATTAAGCTTGGCGAGATCCTGGTAGATCAGGATCCTGAAAAAACTTGACAGGATTTCTCAAGGAATGTTCAGGAATGAGACTAGGGATATAGAGTTACGTGTTTGCATTCTTGCTTCCTATATATTCACTCCCTGTATTAATTATGGCTGCCAAACTTTTCATGCTAATTCCTTAGGTCTGACTAGACATGCAGAGAGTGCTGATTGCTGTGTGGGAGGGTAGAGATAGGTGACTTGGGTGTGGGTGTGGGTGAAATTTCACCCAAACGATTTCACGCTAGAGAAAGATTTCAAACCTTCCACGGAGCTTCCCTGAATGTAGCAAACGCCGAGAAAAAGCTGACAGACCAGTAATGAGATGTTCGGTAGGGTGACATGGGTGACATTTCACCCAAGTAGGACTGTAGCTGAAAACGCGGTCAAACCTTTCATACTACTTCCGTATGCATATGAAATACTGAGAGAGTGTTCACACGACAGTGGACGGGTAAATGGTGGTCGCCTAGGTGTCAAATGGGTGAAACTTTACCCAACTCATTTTGTGATAGGAAAAGACAACAAGTCTTTCATATTTCTCACCTATGATTGGGGAAACGTGGATGGAGTGTTGGAAGACTAGTGAGAGACGACCTAGGATGGGAAAAGTATTTGTATTAATACATAAATGCACTGAAAGCGAATGCGGCAAGCTTAAAATCGAGTATAAACGTGATGTGCGCTTCACAACATAAAATAGGTGAGCTATCGATTTTCATTAAGCTGTTTAAAATGTTCATCCTCGAGCGCACTAAGGATCTGCTCCTTATGCCCTGCGGATGCCCTCCTTTTGTCCCGTAGGACGTGGCGAGGAGTTAGTTCCACACAAGTAACTACTTGATTAAACGCAAAATCTATGTTGATTGATTTTCTATATCTGCAATGGATCCTTCTCTATATTATAAACTCATGTTTATTAAGTCGAAATGCGGTACAAACTGAGGAGGATTAGCTTGAAAAGGCAAAAGAGCATCATAATGTGTACCGTTGTAATAAATACAAAATCCTATTTTCTTTCTGTCGCATTTATATCCAAGATATATTAAATGGCTACCTGCTGTCCCTTCATCAAATCGATGAATTAATTCGTGTAGACTAATATTTGACGGAATAAACTGTGTGTTTTTTGGGTCCGGACGATTGTTAAACTTTATATTTGAATATATAGGACGAGATAGTGCGATAGATAGAGCTTGAATTTGCACTTCTTCTCCGCATATTGTATGTGTGGCAATTCTTTGTAACTGCTCTTCAAAGGTATATCCCAGTGTGTTACACAGTTTTTGAAAATAACTCCTATTAGTTATTATTGCATAAACTGCCAACAATCTCATCGAATGTGTTAGTTTCTCAGATCCAACACTCAATATCGAAAGAGAACTATATAAACAATTTCTGTCTCCAGTCGTACGTGTCCGAGTATGAACTGAATCGAATGCTCGAACAGGATACTCCGCTCTTGCTTCTAACCGTACAGAATTGTCTTTATTTTGCATAGTTATAAACGTTGA